GGAGAGGCGATGCTGGTGGTACCTGGGCATGAGAGGCTGGTGTGGGGCTATGTAGGCTGGGTGTTGGGAATGGGGGGGCCCTCGAGGTTTGGGGACTGGGCGGGTACTGGGCTTCCACACCAACTTTGACATGAGATGTAGGGAGGTGTGGGTGAGGAGGTGAGGGGGGCAGAGGGGGGGGGTGGCACTGAAGGGGCAGCCTCTGATGGGGCTGGTTTTGCACTGGGCATGAGAGGCTGGTGTGGGGCTATGTAGGCTGGGTGTTGGGAATGGGGGGGCCCTCGAGGTTTGGGGACTGGGCGGGTACTGGGCTTCCACACCAACTTTGACATGAGATGTAGGGAGGTGTGGGTGAGGAGGTGAGGGGGGCAGAGGGGGGGGGTGGCACTGAAGGGGCAGCCTCTGATGGGGCTGGTTTTGCACCTGTGTTTTTGGGTGTTTGGCTAGTTAAGTATCGTCCTCTTAGCTGGGCTATTTTTTCCTCATGGTTTTTCATTTGTTGTTTTTCTTTAATATGTAAAAGCTAAATTTTCCCAGGTAGGGTTTACATATGTTTCTACATGTTGTGTGAACTTTTTGGGCCTTCTGTTGCTGGTTTTTTTTGCCCTGATAGATTTAAATCGTCCACAGTAAAAGAATGCATCCGTGCAATACTGAAGGAGAAGCTGGCCAACGTACAGTACGTCCCAGAAGAAATGCCTGAGCTTACGCAGTCTTTATCAGAGACAATAAAAGACAGACTGAAAGGTAAGGAGGTTTGCTGGAGAAATGGTTTCTTTTCTTACTGCATCCTCTCCCTTTGAGAAAAAAAAATCTCTCTTTCCTCCTTTATTCTTGAAATCTATTTCTTCCCTGTTGGACTGACTCGAGTCTACTGTTATGAAACATTCTGGCCTATATACATATGTTCCTTGCCTGCAGAACTAGAAACCTAAGTCAAGCAGACAAGATTTGTTTTCATATAGATTGGCTGGTTTGGGATATCAGTCTTGGAGAGGCTGCAGGGGGAAAGAACATGCATTAGAGAGAAGGAAGAAGTGACGCTTCATTGCTCCTTGCTTCAATAAA